TCAAGTGCCATACCGAGCAGGAACTGTGCATCTCCCAGGAACACTGTGTCGAACCGCTCCTTCAGCTGCTCGACGACCCGCATCACCTGCGCTTCGTCGCTTCCCGACAAAAGAATGTCGTCGACGTACACGAGAAGGAGGACCCCTCCCGCGTTAAGGATGTAGAGACAGGGGTCCGCCGTACTCTGAACGAACCCGATCTCCAGCAGGAAGTCGTGGAAGGTGCCGTTCCAGCCCTTCGGAGAGAGGCGCAGCCCGTAGAGCCACGCCTTGAGTCGCCACACTTTTCCCTGTTGTTCCGGAGAGCACTCGAACCCTTTCGGAGGGATGACGTAGATCGGTTTCGCATTTGCAGGAACCCGCGCGTGGAGGAATGCCGTCTTGATATCGGCTTGCTTCAGGCCAAAACCATTCTTGGCTGCGATAGCAATCAGCAGGTGGACGGATTCCATGGACGCCACAGGCGCCGCTTTATCCTCGCCCGTGTCTGCTTGGTGAAAGCCTTGGACCACAACGCGGCTCTTCAGTCGAGCAAGCTCGCCATTCTTGTACTTCCGCTTATAAAGGTACCTTGACGGGATCGGCTGGTCCTGGGCACTCGTCGGCGGCTCGACCCAGTCGTACACATCAAGGTCGACAAGCGACTGGTTTTCGTTCCGCATGGACTCTTGCCAGTCTAGAGCATCCTGCCCACGGATCGCTTCGTCGTAGCTCGAAGGGTCGGGAGCCCTGTAGCCCACTTCGCCAGGGTTGCCAGTCCCGTTGTTGCCAAGCGAGCTTCCGGTGAGCAGGGAGCGTTCCACTTGCTCGAAGGCCTCCTCCTCCGTGGCAAAGGTAAACAGGTTCAGACGTTCAGTCGGCTTGGGGTTCCTGGTGCTGCGACGGGGGCCCGGCTCTTGCGCCTGAGGCGTGGGCTCCGGCTCGTTATCCTTCTGCTCGTCTTGTGGCTCCACCACACTGTCGACGTCGTCATCAGACTCTTCCGGACCGGGATGGTAAATCATTGGAGTCTCTGGCAGCGGATCATGCCCTGCCTTGGGGGGAACCACGTCGCGCGGGGCTTTCTCGCGAATAGAAACTTCGGCGGAGTTGGTGATCTTAAACTTGTCACGAGGGGACCATAGCCTCCACGACCGGCTTTTAGGGTTGACACCGACCAGAAACATCTTCTCAGCCCTGGCAGCCAGTTTGTTGGGCCTGTCCCCCGCTTCCACGTGCTTAAAGCATACCGAACCGAATTCGCGGATGTGGTGCAAGCTGCCAAGCGGTTTGTTCTCCCATACCTCAAGTGGTGCCTTGCCGCCCAAGACGTCCGTAGGCGTGCGATTCAGTATATAGATCGCGTATTGGAACGCTTCGGCCCACAGACTCTCCGGTAGATGAGGTGCCCCAAGAAGAAGGCGCCGCGTTATGGCTGCGACCGTGCCAAAGCCACGCTCGGCGACGGCGTTGCCTTGAGGCATGTACGGGGCGTTGGTCTCGATTTTGATTCCAAGTGATGCTGCCAGCGCCGCGAACCTTCCCTTGAACTCGCCCCCTCCGTCGCAGTGTAGCGTGGTGATACACAGTCCTTCCGGGTCGGCTTCCTCCTTGACAACAGTTTCCAGCGCCTCAGCAGCTGCATCTTTGCTCTTGATGGGAAAACCAAACCTCATGCGGGTATTGTCACACGTGAACATCACCGCACCCTTGTGTCCACCGAGAGATTTTACGGAGTGCGACCAGGTGTCTACGTGCAAGAGCGCAAGACGAGTGCCGGCGCGAGGTCGGTTAGCCGGTGGGTGACTAGACTTCTTGCTGTTGCCGACAGCACATACCTCGCAGTCGCCAGACTCGATGTTTTGGTCAAATTTAACCCCAGAATGCTCCTTCCTCGCCAGCTGCTGGAGGGCGCGCGGATTACAGTGGCCCATCCTCCGGTGCCACATGTGTGCATTCACCTTCGTCTTGAGCAGCATCGCGGTCCCGTCCATCCTCATGTCGTCGAGGACAATGTTCACGCTGTACATCCGCGAAATCTCCGTGGAGATGGGGAAGGCCTGATCGCTGCTACGGAGTGCTGGAGGAGTAGACAGAAGATCGCACATCACCCCCCTTTCCTTCAGGGCTCCGACCGAGAGGATGTTCGCTCCTAGGTTGTCAACCAGTAGTACTTGTAGCTCCACCGGGACGAGTTGGTTCCGGTCGTTTGAGATGCCGAAACGCAGGATACCTTTCTGAGCCGCGCTCGACGTTCCACACGAACCTTTGATCCTCACGTTGCAGTCCGACTTCTCGGTCACGTGGCGAGATGCGTAGGAATCCGCGCTAACCATGTGGCTAGACGCTGCTGTGTCTACGAACATAATGGTGCTCCTGGCGGACTCGTCCTTAACCTGGTACACACTGGTGTAGGCAACTATATCTGTTGCATCAGCAAGCGGGTTCTGCACCTGAACGTCACTAGCAGCATCAGCAGCACGCTCCTCGGGCAGCGGCACAGCAGGGGTATCCAGCACTTGCTCATCGTCGGCAGCGCGCTCCTCTGGCAGCGCCGCGGCAGGCGCCTCCGCCACCTGCTTCTCAGCAGCAGCGCGCTCATCGGGCAGCGCCACAGCAGGCGCATCCAGCACCTGCGCATCATCAGCAGCGCACTCCTCTGGCAGCGCCGCAACAGGCGCCTCCGGCACCTCCTCCTCAGCAGCAGCGCGCTCCTCCGGCAGCGCCGCGGCAGGCATTTCCAGTGCCTGCGGATCGTAGATGACAAGACCTTCCTGCACGCCCACGGCGGCGCGCTTCTCCGGCAGCGCCGCGGCAGGCATCTCCAGTGCCTGCGGTTCTCCAAACGAGATGGAAAAGTCCTCCGGCTCACCGCTGGATTCCTCGACTCGGGTGAACCATGCCTGCGTGGACGGTTCCGGCGCGGCGGCATTCGCCTGTTGGGCGTTATCCTCTCGCACGTTCTCCAGGCGAAGGGGGCAGCCGTCCCATCCGTGCTCTGTAGAGTTGTGGCAGTACTTGCAGCGTCCCTGACGGTCTCGGCCCTTTTGGTGACTTTTGTTTCCGCCTTTATTGGACTTGTTGCCGCGGCCTCGCCCGCGCACATCTTGCGCGCCTCCAGGGCTATCGCCTCTGGAATTTCCGGCGGAGGAGCCGCTGCTGCCGTTGTCTCCGGTCGGTTGGCTGCCATTGCCTTGGCGGTTGCGTCCGCCGCGTCCGCCACGTCCGCCTTGCTTACGGAAACTACGTGCACCCCCGTGCACGACCGTGTTGTGGGCACGGCCGTGGGCAGAAACCTTCCCCCTGATCTGCAGTGTATGGTACGCGGTCGCTCGGTGCGCGACATTTTCGAAGTCAAGATCCAACTCCGAGCCATCGGCTTGTCCGCACACCAGCGCGGCCTTAAGTTGGGCGTAGTGCTGGTCAGGAAGCGCGTTCAACAAGATATGCGTCTGGCGGGCTGGTACGACCTTGTCTCCAAGTGACTCGAGTTCGGAACTGATACGACGCAAGTCTTGGATTGCACGCGCCGGGTCGTAATCGTCCTCGGCAGTGACCGCAAGTGATCCTAACTCTCGCTGCAGTTCATGCATCCGATAGGTGCCCTTCTGGCGGTACTTCGCTTCTAGGGCAACGTATGCCGCACGTCCGTCCCCATGCTCACCAACGCGAGCGGGGCCGAAGGCTCGAACGACTTGGGAAGCAGTGCTCGAGAATCCATCGGCGCAGTCGGACGTAGCAAAGTTTAACCGTGTGTACAGTTTGCCGTTCTTACGTTTGAATTCCAGCGTCGTCCTGTCGAACGCAGCACGATCCGAATCCGCGCTGCTGGCCGCCGATGCCGGGGCGGTCTCCGTCCCAGCCATGATGTCGCCTAATCCTTGCTCATCCATGATGGAGTAGAACAGGCCACTCCAGCCGTGGAAATCTTCCGGCTTCCCGCTAAACGGGACGTATCCTTGTTTCAGGTAGTTCGTGGCGGACGCCATGCTGCTGCTGGGGTGTGACTCGATGTGAATTACCTACCAAACGCTAGGCTCATGACCTGACAACAGAATTGTAGTTGCTGTTTGTTGTGTAGTTGGCAGTGGTGGCGCAGTTTGGGTAGATACAACACAGAGTGATCATTAGATCCAAAACACAGGCGCCCAAGCTGTCTTCACCTGACGGTTACAGACTTGGAGACACGCCTTCACAATACTGCACAAAACCCATGCAGTAGAATAGAGTCAGTTCTTGCATACAAATCCCAACAGTCACCACTGCTGTCCGTCTTCCACTCATCATTGTTCTTGATTTTGTTGCCTTCTTGTGCAATCCCACCCCCGTGTACACCGCCCTATCAAAATCGTCGATCACCACCGCCGCCAGGACGGGTCGTGCAAGACACCCAGCCGTGCCCGAAGGACCTATGAAACCTTTGTGGGCGGCGCCGCAGCGGGGAAGGACAAGGAGAACGGTCAGGTCGGGACCGGGTTGGTGGGCGGAAGAAAGGAGAGGGAGGGTGTGGGCAGAAGCAGCTTTCGGGTCAGAAGCGAGCGGGAGGAGATATCGGCGTCGAGAAGCAGAAGTTGTCCGCCGGAAGCTACTACTAGGTGAGGGAGGGGTGTGGGTTTGCCCTAGGAGTCTCGGGTGAAGCCTTCTTTTTTTTGCACGATAGTCTGTGTTTAGTGGTCTGTGGGCAAATATTCTGGCGATCATTGTTGCTATCGTGGAGAAGTCCGATCTTGCCTTTGGAACAGGCGCTGATGGGCTCCTTCGGGGTCGTGGATCTATCGCTGAGTCTGCCTGCAATTGTTTAGTGGCATTGACAACGGCATTTCTATGGCCCGAAACAGGTGTAGCCACACTCCTTCCTTCAGTCCACCAAGCGCCCGCGAAACTTCGCTAAATTTCGGGAGTATCGGGCAGCAAAATCTTGGCGACATCGAGGCAATGCCACGGCGAAACAGCTGACTTGTTTCCCGACAAGTCCAACCGCGGTCGTTCCGTTGGCCGTTCGTTCTTTCCTCCTTGACGACATGGGACACTCGAGTGGTCTCGAACCGATTCTTTTTCGGAATCATGTGCGTGCATCCCGTGCTAAGAATGTGTATATGAGCTGCTGGGGGTTTCTGCTTAGTCGAAAGCGAGACGTTCCGATGGAAGTAATGATTCTCTGTTCACCGAACGAAAATCACGACGAGTTCTTACCCTCAGCAAGGATCGAGGCTGAGGTCCATTCGGGGTTCGGACCGCTGCAGACTTTCTATAGTCTAGATTTAATTCCGTATGTTGCTATCGTTCGTGAGGCATGTTGTCGGCGCTCCCAAATCGCTGCAGGAGGGAAACCGTAGGTGTCCTCGTCGGTGCGCATCACCCCTGCTGTGTATGCTGTTAAGTCCTTGATTGTTTGTCCCGGCGCCCGTGGCGCACGTCTTGCGATTGCGATGGTCTTCTGCTTGCTAACATACCTGAGACCGCCGGCACGCAGCCAGCCATGTCCGGTCTGACTGACGCCAGACTTGCACGACGAAACCGCTACGTTGATTTGTGGCTGCTGTCGCAAACAAGGGTAGTCTTCACGGAGATGACACGGGTGATCGTTGTCGCTGTCGTAAAAAGGAGGCTGATCAGCGTAAGCTCTCGTAGCTGTATGTAGCAAGGCCTATTCCGCTGCAGCTAATTCTGAATTTTCGATGTACACTTCACGCGTACAAACGGTCGCGCCATCACTGCAGTGCGTAACCCAGTGTCCGTTCCTTAACATGGTATCTCTAACCAAGTTTATTTCTACTATCTGCGAGCGGACTTCTCATTGCATTCCAGGTATGCATATGCATATGCGCACCAAGTCCAACATTTTATATTCAAATTCAAGGATGAAACGACACTTGTTATACCCTTGATCGGACGCGTAGGTATCTTCTGGTGTTCTTTGGATATTTTGCTGAACCCGGAATACTTCCGGAAGGTTTCTGTCGTAATATTCCGTGGAACCCTTAGTCTGTCCGCGTCGCGGTGGGAATTGCGCGTGCTCATTGTTGCATAGTACGTTGGTGAAGACGATTTCAATCGAGTCACTTTCTTCTTCGACATCCTAGGGTGCTCGACGTGCACCGGCGGTTCTCTCTCGTCTCTACTGGTACTTGATCGGAGCAAAGGAGACAGCGAGCGGCGTCGGCGTCATGTCACGAGGTCCCGTGGAGCTGGATAGGCTCGAATTGAAGCGATGTATTCACTCATGCTGTGGAAGGATGTGATACTGTTGTCCTCTTCGTAAGTGTTTCGTTGGAAATACTGAGCGATAAACATTCTCGCAGGCTGCAATTCATTTGACGTCGTTCGGTGGACCAGTTCTGTTGGGCACCCACTTGCTCTTCGTTCTTCTGGGCGAAGCTCTGGAGGCATGAGTGAGAAATGCAAAAAACTTCACGCCACTCGAAAGACGCCATAATTGGCACGTTCGCAGTTCTGCTCAAGAACGGCGAAACTCAGAACTGCAGAATATGAAATAGACTACATGTAGGGGTGTACTGGCAAGTCGTCTAAGAAGAAGAGTTCCTCCTTTTCCAGCTGGATACAGACGCCGATAGATTCTTAAGTCATACCGTACTTGTATGGGTAGACTATGCTGTAGTCCATGGTCGATGTTACTTGAAATGTCGACGGAATGCTTCCAAATACAGTACACAGGGTGGTCTTCTACGGGGTAACCGACCCTATTCTTGGGTGACCGCTCCCTTCTCCAAGCCCTGTCTCTCCACGGGTAGGGCAGGGACTCACAATAGAATGTCTGACACTCTCAGGGCGTACGCAAAAAAAAGGCTCTAGATGCACTACACAGACAGCGGAAACGCAAAAGCCGGGTGTGTACAGAGAACGCCCTGGACACTCAGTTCGATACCTTTGAAGACACGATGCAGATTCAACTGTGCACGTCGATCGCAGTCCAGGAGATAATTGTGAACACATCATGGGCTGTCTCTTTGTGTAGATTATCCAGTCTCAGCAGACGTACCTCTCTTTTCTCGTGAAACTAACCATGGGTCTTGATGTGCAACAAGTGCACACGCGCCGCGACCGAGAAAAATAAAACACAGGACAATAAACAAACCTGGAAAATATTGCACCTATGAGCCAAGAACTGCACTTAGCCCGTGCCTGGTGAAGGGAGAAAAAAACGGTTTCTGAAAACACCACAAGAGCGCGGACCGAAGATCGGGTTTTGACCAAAGATGGGAGCACTTCGACCCACGCATGTATGTATGCTCGGCGCCACGACCCTAACTCCTCGTGAAAAGGAGGCGAACACGAAAGGAAAAATATCACAAGAACAGGGCAACATTGACATAAAACTGACTTGCTCGGCCCGGAAAGCCGGAACGATTACCATGTAGGACACAGGCTGACAGGTAGGCCAAAAGGTGCTCAGTCTACTTACATTGTGTATCCGACCAGGATCCAAAAACTGTATTTGCAGTTTCCACACCCGTCGTAGACGACACACTTCAAACATACATACACCCCAGAGAGTATGGAATACCTCTGCTGGCCAACCAGAGCCTGCCCACTAGCGACCCGCTCCGTTGTCAATCCACCCCTCCCCCTGCTGTCAGCGGCCTGCCAAGCCAAATGAAAGGACATCTTTGGTGTAATCCCGTAGAGAAACCCGGGCGAAATTCATTTTGGTTGGGGATACTGGTTGACCGGATGACCATAAGGTGGCGGAGGGGCCGCAGTAGTCGTCGCGTCGTGATCATAACTACCATATGCAGGAGGAGGAGGAAGATCACTAGCGGGAGCGGCAGGAGCAGTAGCAGCAGAGGCCATGGGCTCAGGAAATGTCGCAGTCGCCGATTGGGCTGAGCGGTCACCAGCAGGGGCTAAAACGGCAGGAGGAGGAGGAGGAAGATCAGTATGCGGACCACCAGGAACACCACCACCAGCAGCCACAGGCGCAGGGTATGCCTTGGTCGCCGCTCGGGTAGAACCGTCACCAGCAGGGGTAGGAGCTGCTGGAGGGTCTGAGGAGCTGCTGCACTTGGAGCACTTCAGGCGACCCGTGAAGAACAAGTACCCCAATACGGCGGCAGCCGCCAAAAAAGCCGTTCCCCCGACTGCTCCACCGACGATAGCGCCCACTGGAGCTGCACGGTCGTGATGCAAAGGATACACGACCAAGGGTGGGTGGTGTTCTTGGTTTTAACATGGTAAGAGGGGAGAGAGGGGCCATTGGCAGTGGAAGAGTCTAAGTGCCGTGCCTAGATGTGGCTGGGTATCACCTCGCTTCGTAACGCGTTTGACACAGAATGCATTGTTCGTCCGGTGTTCCACAGGCAGCAACGGCGTAGCAAACAAGCACACATCCCCTCAAGGCTGATTCTCTAGGGAACAGCACAGCAGGAAAAACCCAGCGATAGCAACACACAATTTCCTGGAAAAAGGTTGGTCATACAAAATTGCAAGTTCAGCAGGCAATCTCGCTCTCTTCTTTCCTTTGGTGTGGGTTTGAACCTCGGTGCTGTCACACGACGTGGGGTTTGATACGCATAACCTTTCCAAATAAAAATTTACTGCACGGCTGACAAGGGAAGCAACGGCTTAATTTCTATCGCGATCAACACGAAGGCGAGCACCGTAGAAGGAAGGAACGAACAACTCCGTACGTGGCCTCCTTCTTGTTCAACCCTGCCTGGTGCGTTCAGAACTGTACCGAAATTTGGAAGGACCGACGTCCAGAATAAATGGAAAGGTAAACAACAAAGGTGCGCCCTTCCCGTCGCCCTCAGGAGCGAAACGTGCATTCTGTTAGCTTTTTTCATCGAAAGCGAAACAACCCGCTAACTATTTTGTTCGGTGTTCCCCGACAACGTGCACTTCTGTCACCCAAGTCGGTGCGTTGCATGATGAAGAGAAACGGCCATCGGGGTGTTCATTGAAGTTGGGTCGCTTCTGTAAGTAGTAGCCCGGCTATCCCCAGCGAGCAACGGAAACCACAAGAGATTGCAGGAGAAAGGAACCAGGCTGAAAACCTCAAGAGAATTGTAGTGGAGGCCAAACATTTGCTTGCCGAGAACGAAATACAAGTACAGCATTGTCAAGCGTCGCTCCCGCGCTCGGAGGATGGAAAGGGAAGCTTACCTTCATCATCGCCTAACATCAGCATTAATGGCGTCACGGATGACAGGGTAGGTCCCGCCATTGAACGAGTTTCGCCGGTGATCAAGGTTGCGATTGGGCACGCGAAGGTGGGGAACGATTGCAAGTGGACACACGCGCGGATGCGACGATGCAATATTGAAAGGTTTCGGCGTTTGAACGCAATGATCGAATCTCGGCGACGTCACACGAACCGACATTGTTACCACTTTCGACTTTGCCCAATAGATGCGGAAGATAGGGAACGCATGAGTAGTCGAGTTTATGCGGAAAGAGCTTCGACGGCATGATGGACGAGCGGAACAATTTACTCAAGGTTGATCGCGATATAATTAAAGCACGCACAGCAGAAGAAATCGCGGAAAAAAATTCAGTTCGAGTGTGTGCGGCTTTCCTCCTGTGTGACCCCGGCTGATGCGCCCACCAAACATGTCTCGAACGGTGAGGACCAATCGCATTGCCGTCCAGAAGAATCACAACACATACGAACAAATTGACTCCATCTCCCTCGATTGGACGTGATATTTGATGAATGTCAGAGGTCGACCGCCGCGAAGGCGGGAATATGACGTGAGATCTCTGCATTTCATGGGAGTTTCTATATCACAGGCCACAATACGCGAATACATGGGTTTCTCTAGTATCGGTCCGATGATTTGATTTCTCTCACGTATTCCTCCGGGGCGCAGTTTTCCCCGGTTCACCCCCTCCCTTCGGGAACATTTCGAACGCGGTAAACTACGTAGCAGTTTGTGTGGAGTTAGATGCCAAGACAAGTTCTACTCAATCAAGCGCTGAACGGGCAATCGCATTCTGAATGCACTTTACCATCATCAGAGGTGGCCTTGTCGTTGTCGGCTTCGTCTTCGTCGTCGTCATTGAGGAAGCCGTCAGAGTAGGTTGGACTGTCAAAGGAGTCACCGTCGTGATCCGTGTCAGAGGAATGAACGTAGACGGCAGGACTCGGAGTGAAGTCGGTGTCGTCGTCATCGAGGAAGCCGTCATAGTAGGTCGGGCTGTCGTAGGAGTCGTCATCAAAGTGGTACTGGGGGTAGGCCGTTGGGCTTAAGGTGACGGTGTAGAAAGGACTAGGGGTAAAGGCGGCCCATTCTTCTCCGTCGTCGTCGTAGTAATGGTGATCTGAGAACAGTTGTGTGGATGGTCAAGCAAGGTTTGTCCGGGGAACGGGGATTGTTGGATGCACTCAAACAAACACATCAGTGCAAGGGAACGCGGGACAAGGGGAAAATGATGCCGCGGGAATTTCACACAAAATACGCGTTCCATCGTAAAGAAAACCAAGCACTGCCCATATCTGCATCTGCGTAGGTTGCTCTCTGCTACCAATAAACAGCATTGCGAATCGAACAAACAAGCATTATTCTAGCAGCGTACTCGTGGGTGAAATCCTGACAGAGAGTGTCGAGACGAACCGCCCGAAGAAATACCATTGTCAAGTATCCACCTTCACATGCGCGTGTGGACACGGTAGTACTCTTTCTGTTTGATGCTAGCTCTCATCCATCTCAGATCTGTCTTTTGAGCGCGAGAGTGTTGAAGCATAGGAAGACAATGCGTGGGCCTACCCAACAGCTATCACCGCATCCTATTACAAGTATCTAACACTTCACAACGGTTTTCTTGGATCGGGTGCGCGTTTCAACCGGCTTACAGGTACAGGACGATGAAGGATCGATGCAGGTGAAGGCAGTGACAGAACCGCACTCGTAGGTGTCGTCGAAGCAGTCGCATGAGCAGCCTCAAGTTTCAGGAAATCGTGAGGAACAAGAGGCCGGGGACAGCGTGCCACAAAATTAGTGCTCAATGACGTTTTAAAGCTGGAACGTTTCACCTGGAGTATATCACCAACTTCCAGCATTCAGAAACGGCTTTTTGGTCCAGAGATCGCGGTAGATAAATTTGATTCGGATTCTTCGAGGCACTGAAGGGAAGCAAGGGACAGAAGCCGACACGCAGAGTGGTTGGAAGTCCAAGAGTTCGTAAACTCAAAACAAATTTAAGCGGCCTCACGTTGATATACGCAGCAGCTATTTGAGAAAGTGTGTGGATGTTTCTACTTGATGGATAGAAAAAGTATGCAACGGAATACGGAGAAGGCCATCCAACAAACTGCTTAACCTCATCTATTTGCAACCCTGCGACCAACCAGTACGGCAGACCAACTAAGGAAGTGGCTCGCTCTCGGAGAAGACCCGTGTTCAGACCATGCTCATCATGGCCCAGCTCTCGCCAGTCGTTACTCACAGTCGCCGCCATCATAGTCGCAGTTGGAGTTGTTGTTCGCTGCGAAAGTGGAAAGCAAGAACGGAACAACAACACGATTCAGCGCCTCAGAAGGAGGAGACGTTGCCCTCTCCACTAAACCCACACGGGGCGTCAATACTATGTCGCAGGCAGCATTGGTTTGCACCTCAGCCACAAAAGACTTCCCATGCGCTGTAAAACAGGCGTTTCCATGGGGTTCCACTATCGCTGGATCGACGTTTCCGATCGGGGTGTAAGAACCGCAACGGGCGATAGGAGACAGACCGAAACGAAACACAAGAGAACCAATGGGGCATCCGTCTCCAGTTGCTACGGTTGACTTCGGGAGCATTTCTTGCCCCGAAAGATTTGGGTAGCCTCTAGCTCATCGTAGGTTGACACATTGTGTCATGCAGGGGAACATCGCGACAAGTGTTAGTTCGATGGTGTCAGACGACCGACTTCCATACAACGAGACGTGGTACGGCACCATGAAAAGCACTGGGGATGCCTTCTCGTGTGCTCACCGCACGGTATGCGTTCCGCAAGTAGACCAGTTCCTTGGACGAAGTAAAATCGCCACACTTCGACATCCATGACGCAGCGAAAGTCGTTCAGAAACGACGCAGCATATACTGTTTCAACCACTCCGCGGCCAAATTCTCATTCTAGGAAAGAACTGGCTCCAAGCATGCCCCGTTCGCCGTCCAACGGCTTCCGCACCGACCATCCTCAACGCTTTGCTGGCACCAACGGCTGAATCGATCGGACGTACCAATGGCCAAGGGTATCCCTGCGTACACGCCGGACGCTGCTTAAGCCATACCGGTAACACAACCACAAAAAGCTGCACACCGTTTGCCCATCTGACGCCATCCTCAGTGGTGCACATATCGAGGAAGCTACTTACATGAGTCGCACATTCCATCACTAATCCAGGAGTCGCTGCAATCTGCACAACAGTAGTTCAAGGAAACGTAGCATCGCAGAGTTGTTGTTGTCGGCCACACGTTGAGGTAGGCTGGGATGTGCGGGTTTTTCTCGCGTGTTTTTGGTCTCGGTCATTCCGAAGTTGGATATTCACCCCGTCCAAGACGACTGCCTTTGCCCAAGAGTGAGTATTGATAACGCCACCGTTCTTGGCGCTCTCAATGGTTCACGAATCAATGCGTGGTTCTTGGAACTCCCGAGCTGTGCCAGGGACACTGTCTCTGCTTGATTTCCTCCAGCCCACGCCATTTCTTCCCGGCCACCGTATCCCACCTCTTCCTACACTTCCCTCACCGTGCCTTCCTCGTGCTTACTCGCGAACACTACCGCGGAATAAATGCAGTTTTTATTGTCGGTCGTCCTCTGTACTTCTTTTGTTCGTCGAAACAAATTGTGGCATTGTTCGATTTTCGTTGCAGCCTTCTAATAGCCTTAAGAACATATGACCAGTTCCGGTGTGTAAGGTTCACCAAGAACCCCAAAACGAGGTGGACAACGAATGGCGGATCGGCTGAAGGCATAGGAACGACGGGGCCCCATCGAGCGGTGGCTGTTACCACAAGAACCTTGCGGAGTCGGTCGTGAACGGGGGCCTCTGCGACGATAATACTTGGCGCTTTTTCGAATGAATGCGTGGACGGTACCTTGAGGATTCGATATTGCAACACGAAGTATTTACTTTATGGTCGGGTGGTTATTGTGGAAGAATCACTCGGCAGGGTCAGCTGCGTTCCCGCCTCCTGCATGACTGTAATGTCCAGCTCGAGCGAGAAGAGCAAACGACCACGAGCCGCAAGAAGCGACCGGTCATAACGCAAAGTGGAGACCTAGAGGCGCTGATAAGCTCGGGGGTTTCCTCGTACAAAGGTGGATGCCACTACCGCATCAGATCGGGGAGTGAACTTTCCGCTCAATATCACCGTTGTGGGTCATCAGGAGGGTTGATAGTTCTCCACGATCCCGTACATCTTCGTCCTTTGTATATATAGCCAATAACGAACACAGTTAGGGGTGCTGTGGCCGGGTTCCCCATTTGATTCCGGATTATATGCTTTCGTGTCCTACTACTGTAATAAACCTACGAAGGGTAGTTATTGTTTTGCCGATGCAACAGGGAAAATTCCCAGAGAATCGCCACGTCCACGAGGGCAATCGTTGTAGAAGCAAGAATAAGAAATTGACAACTTCAGCTGGATAGCGTCCTTGGCCGAAATCAGACGACAACCAAATAGGAAGGTGAGCATACACAACGCAATCCTCCCGCAACACCAGGGGGACTCAAAGGCCCTGGCGTCATTTTTACCGAGAAGCGCTTACCGGATGAAGTAGTACCCTGCTGCGCGCTGCTGAAGCAAGCAACGGTGAGTAGCGCACCCAGCTCCCATCGCGGCTTTATCATACCTGGGATCCCTTTTTACGGTGTAAATCAAGGGTGGACGAGTTTTATATACTGGTGAATTTGTTTGGGGAGGGGGGGGGTACGAAGTGCGCCCCGCCCCGCCCCCCCCCAAACGCATGAACAAAATCCTGTAAACAACAAGGCCATCCCAACTTCTTATATAAGGCAAAAGCCCGGGAAACCCAGAACGGTCACCCAGGAGCAGTGTGCGTCCAAATACACGCCTAAGCTCGTCAATTGACTGCATGCACGTGCGTGTTGTCACGGAAGAGTCTCCCCGGTGCGGCCTTATGGTTGAGGTGTCTTCGTCTGTTACAGCCTCCGGGCGTGTTGCGCGTCAAAATACGCGTCAATAAACGCGTCAACATTTTTCCCGTCGTGTAGTCAATCCCCCCCCCCTCGCAGTGACCCAACCCCCCCCCGGTATTTGCCATCGAGGTTGGGATTTCGTCGCTTGTCGACGAGTTGTTAAACAAGCCGATCACTTCGTGAGCTCGGCAACTTGGATTCTGCATTTTTTTTGCCTTTGGTTTTGTTTCTCGCGGAAACAACACTCTTTTGGTGGTCGAGTAGATAATGTTGTGCGGGGTCGAGAACCCTCACACCGCGCAAAGGGGATTATTCCACTACATTGTGTTGAATTGACCAAGCACCCTCGATGCAGCTACACAGCGCATATATTTGTCTCGGCAAGTGAAAGCACCAGAAAACAAATCAAGTAATTCACCGCTGACATCCGTACGCAAGGAAATACGTACAAGATGCCGAAAATCTTTAGCAGGATGCAGCGCACCCTCCATGCGACTCGCCGAATACCTCACGGCGCATCGTGCTTGGTGGTGTGAGAGTCTGATCCAGGGAGAACCCGGCGTGCTCCGTCCTGGCTCTGTAGGGATGCGAGGTCGATGGTCTAACGACTATGGCATGCATGACTATCTAGGACAGGAGCAAACACACACACACCCCTCGCAGTGACCCCGAAGTAACGTTGTTGTCGTAAGTCACTCATCTCTTTGGTGTCGCGTTAGCAGTTACCTATTTCGTTGTTCCGCTGGACTGGAGCGTTGGAGGGGACCTGTCTACTGCTGTACATGTCTTCTGTCTTTTTTGCTTCCCTTTTTCTCTTGTTCTTTTTCTCTTAGTGTCTTTCGTTCTTTCCATGCTGTTTGATCCGGGGTCGATCGTCTGTTTCCCGGTCAATTTCCTTTTTCGCCAGGATAAAATAAAACACATCGCGCATTGGAGGACTCCTCTGGGGCCCATTTTTTTTGTTGAAAGGTGTAGCCCCTTCTAGGGTAGTTGACTTGTGACCACGGAAGGCGTCCGCGTCAGTTACATGGACCAGTGCGGACATTCGAAGGTACTGAGTGGAGACCGCAGCGGTTTTTAGGCGAAGACAGCAGCAACAGCAGCAGCAGCAACAGCAACACGGCAACAACAACAACAACAACAACAACAACAACAACAACAACAACAGCAACAACAACAAAAACAACAAATATCGTCGTGCAGGTACTCACAGCAGTGGAGCAGGAGTACATACGGCAGCGGTAACAAATCACGATGAACAAACGCGAGAGAATGCCGTACACTACCGAAACAAGCGAGACAACACACATCATTGTCGGGGGAGCGATGAACGGAAGGTTTTCGCAAGGAAGGCTGGGCAAGACCTTTTGCTGAGCCGAGTAGGCCGCCACATTTGTTGCTCAACGTCACTACGACTCAAATTGTCCGTCCCTGCTGGTACGGATGAGCAGCACGAACAACGCAACCGTGTGGGCAAACGGCACACATTTGATTCGATACACATATAGTCTATACTTGAAGGCCTTCTGGGGACAGGTCATCTGGGGACAGGTCACCCGAACTTAGACACCAGAAAAAAAATACAAACGCATTCCAACGAGCAAAGAGGCGCTTGAGGCATTCACGACGTGAGAAACAACTTTTCACACCTGACCCCGGGTTCTACATCTACACACGAATCCGTTGCTGCAACGGCCTGAACGTCAGGAATGGTCTGTGTCTACCCGCATTTCATCAGCCCCATCTACCTTTCGTTCCGCCTCCGTCGGTTGAATTCTTCCCGAACACGCACTCCTTCGCCAGCCCCTCTGCTACAACACCACCCACCGACTTCAGGCTGTTGTACCACAAGGGTTTTGCCACGGTTGTTGTATGAGATGTTCTGTTGGATCTTGGCTCGATCTCGATGCGCGCCGCTTGACGATCAGGAGGTGGAAGGTTGCCGGGAAGCCACTGGAGAGCCCGTCGTTGCCAGCGGAGTCCATGTGAATCATAACCACTACAGAGCAGACCTTCAGACCAGCTGCTCAGACCTCCAGTTTTTTTTCTTTTATCATGTTTTGCCACATCATCGGAAGAGAAGCCAGAGAAATATCCCAGAAAATGATTTGGGCCGAGAACGCTCGAGAGGCTACTTCCGCGTTCTCTGTATGAAAATAGTAACGAATCATCTCCGATAGGACTTGAGGAGGACGGACTGTAAAGCTGTAGAGTACTGCACTGCGTCTGCTCCTTGCTGCTGCTCTTGGCTGACCCACGACTTCGAAAAATCCCTACAGGTACGAACAAACCCCTCTGTGGGTGGTCGAAGATGGACTGCGTCTCTGTTCAAGCCCAACATGCCACCATGCACAACATACTACTGCTGCCGTTCACCTGTCGCCGTCCTTCCACGTCTACCTGTCCATGACACATGCTGCCACTTGATGCGACAACATCTGGGAACAACACGGACACAGGGAGTATCCCCACACGCGCAACCTCTCATTCCTCCCTTGTCAAACACAAATGATGTAGCATGCATGAACTAACTGATAACAATAATAATATATATTTTTTTTTTAAGTGGGGCCCGTTAGGGGTACGCTTTGTGTTTTGTTTCGAAAAAAAAAGCTGTTTAGAGGGATCGTGGGTGGAGTGTTGTTGTTGTTGTTGTTGTTGTTTTCTTCACATTAAAAACCGTTCCGATCTCTCTCTACCCAGTACCTTCG